TTGTTTAATACTGTTTATTATAAACAGCATTTGCTTAAATATTTGTATCTATAAAAAGAATGTATAAACAAAAAATGTCTTAAAATATATATATATATATATTCTTAAAGTTAGACACTCAAAGCAAGGAGCCTCTTTAAGTAAAAGCAATTAATCATGACTAGCGAGATAATTTTGTTTACCAGTATATCAAAACCTCTATGGGTTATCTAATGCCGAAATCTAAATATTTTGAACACAATTTTATAGCTTCAACTAAATATATTTTGAACGCAATTGTATGCCTTCAAATGCAGATAAAATGTATTGTTGGTAATAATAGGTGATGTTGGCCATTTTACTATAAATATATATTGTTGGTAATTTATTTTATATAAAAATGTATTGTTGGTATTTTTACTATAAAAATGTATATTTACATTTTCAGTGTGTTTTGTTTTTATTTGGGTTTTCACCATTTGCCCATTAGCTGGGACCCTAACACGTGATACTACCCCGGATCAGTGTGGACCTAGGAACAACAGCAATTAAAATGTGGTTTCACGTTCCTTAAAACCCCCAATCTTCCGATAATAGGCATTGCTGCCGGATGTAGTTTATCGTCATACCCAGGAATGGTGACTAATGAGAATTCAGGATCAGCTCGGGGATGATGAAAAGTTACTAGCCTGTTTTTTTTTTGTTTTTTTTTGTGGTATTTAAAGTTACAAGTTAGTTTTTCCACCGTTGAGTTAGGCCCGATGAAAGCTAAGTTGTCAGGCTCTGGTCATCTAGATTTTGGGTTGTTTTTTTTTTTGTTTGTTTTTTTTTTTTGTTTGTTTGTTTTACGGCTTATCAACACCTCAATGGGTTATTTAACGCCGACAAAATTTTTTATTGCTGGTAATATTTTTTTCAAAAATCTATTCCTGGGAATATTTTTTCTTCAAAATTCTATTTCTGAGAATATTTTTCCTTCTAGAAATATCTATACTTGGTAATGTTTTCTTGTGTTTTTTTTTTTTTTTTTTTTTTTTTAATGTATAGCTGTTTGTATTGCTGGTATTTTTTAAAGTATTGCCGATAATATTTCCTTCAAAAATTATTGTTCGTAATTTTTTTTTTTTTTTTACAAAGTATTTCTGGTATTAAAACCTATTTTTACACAAGTTTGGGTGTTAACTATTGGTCCATAGCTGGGACCCTAACAGGGGCTACCGCCCCGGATCAGGATGAACCTGGGAACACCAGCAATTAAGAGGAGGTTCCACACTCCTCAAAACCTCCTGATCAGAGGCCTTGCTGCTGGACGTAGTTTATTGTCTTACACAGGACGCGGATGTAGTTTATCGTGTTACCCAGGACACGGATGTAGTTTATCGTCACACCCAGGACACGGATGTAGTTTATCATCATATCCAGGACGACTAGATTTTGGTGGGTACTCTCATACACTACTATCTGCATAGATATTTAGTAAGGATTTGAAAATGTTCTTAGGCAGATCGTTAATATAAAGCAGAAAGAGGATGGGACCGAGTGGTGAGCCTTGTAGGATTTTTGCATTAATCACATGGGCTTCAAGAGCCTGACCATTGATGACGACTTTCAAGGACCTATCTGATATGAAGTACTTGCAGATTACGAGGATTATTCCAGAGATGACATAGGTGCAGAGTTTGAATAATTTAGACAAGTTTTGTCTACTTATTTTCAATAGGATCCTCTCATATACGCGGACTAGCTTCTTAGTAACCTTATTGAAAGAAGAAGGAAAATTACCATATTTTCATGAAAATAATAAACATAAACTAAAAACTCTTGAAGCCATCTATATTAGAAAATTGAAAACAACTTTTAATAAACATTAATTATGAATACTCCAGAAATGTTTTAAAACTTTTACAGTAGATAGTTTCAAATATCTACGTTTTAACTAATAGTTTTAAATAGTTTATTTAAAAAGTAAAAGGTTTGGATATTTCATGGCTTTTACATCGTGAAATTTAAATCGTTTTCACTTCACAGGTCTAAAAATTTTCTTTCAGATGAACACATCAATTTTGTCTTAGAAAAAACATCACGCTGATGATGTCATTGTACTAATGTCGAAAGTACTCGGAATAAATGAATATGTAACAACACGGTAATTTTCTCTCCTTCTTTAATAAGAATACCAAGAAGCTTGACCATGAATATGAGAGGATCAAAACTTGTCTAATTTTCTTTGTAAAAAAATAATAAAATTTCATATATTTAAATATACACAAATTCACACACACGCAACTCATTTTTTTTTTCGTTTTTGATCTGATGAAGCCTAAACGGATGGCGAAATGTATAATCGGATATATTCCGAAACAATATAATTTCATGAACTTTTTACAAATGGCAATATATATATATATATATATAGATAGATAGATAGATATTGAAAAATATGAAGAACTGGAAAGTTTTGTTTTTTTTGTGATGCGTTTCATCCGTTAGGATTACATCAGATGAAACGCGTCACAAAAAAACGTTCCAGTTTGTCATATTTTGTGTGTGTATGTGTGCTTGTCGGTAAGTGTGTGTGTGTGTGTGTGTGTGTGTGTGTGTGTGTGTGTGTGTGTGTGTGTGTGTGTGCTTGAAAACCCCATACAATGTTTCTAATCCAGTTCACTAATCAAGCTTTCATAATTATGTATCTTTTTTGATCATTTCGCCCGAAGCAAGGCAATAAAGCCACTAAGACGCAAGAAGTTACTGGATGTTGTATTAAGGAGAGCGAATAATAAAAGAACCAGAATTAAATTGACAGAAGATAGCGATTGACATAACATTTAAATTTTTGAACATCAACGTTGACTAGGAAGCAAGTATCCAGAAGAGAGTTCCACAAGCGAGAAGTGCGATAGAAGAAACTGTTAGCATAGAACATAGGGTTACATCTAACCATTTCAAATGTAAAATGATGAGACCTAGCCGCCAATCTAGTACTGCGCTTAAATTCGTAATATCTAGGTACCATAATTGAAGGTTCATCAGAACAATTACCTTGAAAATATTTATAGAAAGGGCACAGGGAAGCTACATTACGGCAGTTGGAAAATGACTGAAGGCGAGATGCCAGGTCAGGACCAATAATATTGCAGATTCTTTTTTGGATTTTATCAAGAATCTCTAAATATATAGCAGGAGCACTAAACCAGATGTGGCAGCGATATTCAATCCATGAACGAATGGTCATTCATTCATTTATTCAGTTGGCACATTTTACGCCGCTAACATCTCCACTCCCCCTATTTCTGTTGTAATTGTGGGTCATGGTGTTATTCAAGTCAAAATAGTGCAATGGCTTGCCGGTTCCTTTTGAGGATGTTGAAGTTACCACATCCCTCTTCTCAGAATTTACTCCGCCCACTGTTAAGGCCGTTGACCTCTGAGGCGCAGTTCTTACGCCCATGCCAGATTGTCGCTTAGCACAAGTCGGTTATGGAGGCAATTCCCTCCACCGGTTGGGTCGGGGAACACTTCCCACTACCCCCACGCAGTTTAGCCGGCAGATCAATGTCGTTGACCGAGGTGTGGCCGTCGCTGTGCCCGTGCAACTTCTTGGAGCCATGTGTGAGAGTTGAATGTAGGCCGTGGACTAGTACAGTTCCGCATTCCATTTCAACTTAGTCAAGAAGGGTCGGCCGCTTTGCTGTAAAAGTGCTACCACTGACGATACACCCCATACATCCCGGACGCATAGTAGACTTTTAAATTTGTAAGTTACAAGGGTAAGTCAAAAATAAATTAAAATTTATTGAAACAAAACAATTACAGTTGATTACTGATGACAATTCCAGAACAACGTAACAATAAACAATTTTTTTCTAACCTCTGCCAGCCGCAACGATGGAGAAAGCATTACCTCGAACCATCGCGAGGCTCGTCCCTTAATCGAGACGCAATCGCGCCAATCCTCCGAAGGAATGCCATCGAACGAGGGCCAATGACCCCTGAAGTAAAAAATTATCCGCAATTTCACCAGTTTTCTTGCTTCTGTTACAGTGTAAACATGTCCGCTTTGCAAGCAGTGTGCACCAAGGTGGGGTGGGGAACAAAGAGCAGTGATCCGAATCTGCAAAAAAAAGACAAGTTTCTTCGTCGGTGATAAATCTCTGGTTCACCATCCCGAGCTTTATGACTCTCCTCGTCAGTGGCAAAGGTTAACGTTCTTTATATTCACTTACACGCAAATACCCTAAGGAAAGGTATGGATCCACCTCTTCTCCACCCAGCTATGGGTTAATTAGTAGAACACGTATCAGTAAATCATTATTATCCCTCTAAAAATCCTACAATATAAAAATATTCTCTAGCTTTAGATAAATGCAAAGGGTCGATAAGCCGTAAAAAACAAATCAATCAGCAGAATAAGAGAGGGCGAATTAAATATTCCATTGTTGATCCGTAAATTCTCACATGGTATTTTATCATTAATACCTTGGAGTTTTTGAATATCACACAAAATGTATTTTTAGCAAATGACAAGTCAAATTTTCATTAGTCAAGTACTTTTCTGAATACCTTTGTCATATAACAACAAAGAATTTCTGGTTTTAGCCATATGTATGAATTACAATCACATGACCGTAAATATTGTCTGTAATAATTACAAGAAAAAAGTATAGAAAGATCCCAGTAACTGCTTAAGAGTGATCATAAATTTAAAAGATAAGACTGGAAAATAAATTGAAATATAATTTTTGCGTTTGAACTTTTGAAAATTAAAAATTAATTTTCGAATATTGGCTTTTTAATTTGAATTTTTATATTTTTTTTATTTTTTATCGTATAAAATCCCAGAAATAACACACCAGACAATATTTAATAGGGAACTTAAGAATTAAATTATGTATATATATCTCTAACATTCTAAATAAGATGTTTGAAAAACCCCCATGGTGCTAATACCGCGGTAATGCTTCAAGTTATAAACAGAGTTAAACATCGAGCCGCTTCATGCGTTACGCTTCTCCGGCCGCTTCATGCGTTACGCTTCTCCGACCGCTTCATGCGTTACGCTTCTCCGGCCGCTTCATGCGTTACGCTTCTCCAACCGCTTCATGCGTTATGCTTCTCCGGCCGCTTCGTATGTTACGCTTCTCCGGCCGCTTCATGCGTTACGCTTCTCCGACCGCTTCATGCGTTACGCTTCTCCAGCCGCTTCATGCGTTACGCTTCTCCGACTGCTTCATGTGTTATGCTACTCCGGCCGCTTCATGCGTTACGCTTCTCCGACCGCTTCATGTGTTACGCTTCTCCGGCCGCTTCATGCGTTACGCTTCTCCGACCGCTTCATGCGTTACGCTTCTCCGGCCGCTTCATGCGTTACGCTTCTCCGGCCGCTTCATGCGTTACGCTTCTCCAACCGCTTCATGCGTTATGCTTCTCCGGCCGCTTCGTATGTTACGCTTCTCCGACCGCTTCATGCGTTACGCTTCTCCGACCGCTTCATGCGTTACGCTTCTCCAGCCGCTTCATGCGTTACGCTTCTCCGACTGCTTCATGTTATGCTACTCCGGCCGCTTCATGCGTTACGCTTCTCCGACCGCTTCATGTGTTACGCTTCCGACCGCTTCATGCGTTACGCTTCTCCGACCGCTTCATGCGTTACGCTTCTCCGACCGCGTCATGCGTTACGCTTCTCCAGCCGCTTCATGCGTTACGCTTCTCCGACCGCTTCATGCGTTACGCTTCTCCGACCGCTTCATGCGTTACGCTTCTCCGGCCGCTTCGTGTGTTACGCTTCTCCGACCGCTTCATGCGTTAGGCTTCTCCGACCGCTTCATGCGTTACGCTTCTCCGACCGCTTCATGCGTTACGCTTCTCCGACCGCTTCATGCGTTACGCTTCTCCGACCGCTTCATGTATTACGCTTCTCCGACCGCTTCATGCGTTACGCTTCTCCGACCGCTTCATGCGTTACGCTTCTCCGGCCGCTTCGTGTGTTACGCTTCTCCAACCGCTTCATGCGTTACGCTTCTCCGACCGCTTCGTGTGTTACGCTTCTCCGACCGCTTCATGCGTTACGCTTCTTCGGCCGCTTCGTGCGTTACGCTTCTCCGACCGCTTCATGCGTTACGCTTTTCCGACTGCTTCATGCGTCACACTTCTCCGGCCGCTTCATGCGTTACGCTTCTCCAACCGCTTCATGCGTTACGCTTCTCCGACCGCTTCATGCGTTACGCTTCTCCAGCCACTTCATGTGTTACGCTTCTCCGGCCGCTTCATGTGTTACGCTTCTCCGGCCGCTTCACGCGTTACGCTTCTCCGACCGCTTCATGCGTTACGCTTCTCCGACCGCTTCATGCGTTACGCTTTTTCGGCCGCTTCATGCGTTACGCTTCTCCGACCGCTTCATGCGTTACGCATCTCCGACCACTTCATGCGTTACGCTTCTCCGACCGCTTCATGCGTTACGCTTCTTCGGCCGCTTCGTGCGTTACGCTTCTCCGACCGCTTCATGCGTTACGCTTTTCCGACTGCTTCATGCGTCACGCTTCTCCGGCCGCTTCATGCGTTACGTTTCTCCAACCGCTTCATGCGTTACGCTTCTCCGACCGCTTCATGCGTTACGCTTCTCCAGCCACTTCATGTGTTACGCTTCTCCGGCCGCTTCATGTGTTACGCTTCTCCGGCCGCTTCATGCGTTACGCTTCTCCGGCCGCTTTTATCGATCCACCCATACACACTTCTACACACGGCAGTACGCTGTTGCTGTATTGTGTTAAAAGCCTCCGATCAATTTCAGCCCCTGACACAGTTTTGTATGCCAAGAAATCTTTAAATGTACTTTCTGCATTTTATTTACAGCGGAATGTTTTGGGGCTTTAAAAACTCTCAATATGATTGAAAATTGGTAATCAGTGAGCGAGAGATCAGTGGGGTACGGTAGGTGTGCCAAAGTATCGTATCCCAAGCCTGTGAGCCTCTATATTTTCATTCTGGGGATATGTGAGCGAGCATTGTCATGAAACAGAATTGAACCTCATTGATTAAACAATGCCAATCGTATTTTGCTTAACTGGATTTGCATTTCATCCACTTGCTGGCAGTAAACTTTGGCCGTGATGCTGCTGGTTAGATTCCAGAAAGCTATAATGGACAACGCCAATATTGAACCACCAAACATTCAGCATAATCTTCTGTTTGGTGAAATTTCGATTTTGAAAAGTTTTGGGGTGCCTCGTCCTGATAAAGTCATTGAGCCGATCGATTACGATTCTTATAAAGGATCGATTTTTCATCATTCTCTCATTATTCGATTAATAAATGTTTCATTCAAATTCCGCAAATCCAGCATGGAACACACTTTTAAACATTGAGCTCTTTAATTTAATTTCAATAATCGAGTTTCTTTCCCTTATCTGTTTTCTTGAGATTTTTTTTATCGTGTTCACCCCAAGCAAGACAGTAAAGCCACTAAGACACAAGGGGTTACTGGATGTGGAAGAATTGGACAACAGAAAATTATTAAGTACAAAAGAACAAAAGAAGAGTAAATCACCAAACAGTCACCATAATCTTCTGTTTGGTGCAATATCGATTTTGGAAAGGATTTAGATCATTCGTCATGATGAAGTCATTGATTTGATCGATTAAGATTGTCATAAAAGATCCATTTCTGATCACAATACAATATACGATCAGCATCGAACATATTTCAAAACATTGAATTCTTTACTTTCCACTCAAACAGTTTATCGAGTTTCTTTCTCTTGCCACTTTTCTTCAGATATTTTTTATCGAGTTTACCCCAAGAAAGGCAATAAAGCCACTAAGACACAAAGGGTTACAAGTGAGTCCGTCGTTCACTTTTGAACAGACTGCTCGGTTGAACTCTCTTCCTACGGACGGGAGGAACCCGAAGGAGGCTCCGCCGAAGGGCGGAGTCTCTCTATCGGGGAGGTAAAACCGGCCCTGAACCCGTTTATACGGGTTCAAATGGGCTATTTTTTGGCCGAGCCTAATGGCTCGGGAATGCCCACGTTAAAAAAGCCTTGTGCCACATGACACCCTCGTGGGGGGGGTGACTCAATATCGTAAGTTCTATGCTAACAGTTTCTTTTCTCATATTTTTTGCTTGTGGAACTCTCATACGGTTCCATGATTTCTAGTTGACTTTGATCTTCAAAAAATTAAATACAATGTCAATCACTATCTACTGTCCCCTTAGTTACTCTTCTTTACTTCTCGCTACTTAATAATTTTCTGTTTTCTAATTTTTTCTACACCCAGTAACCAATTTAGAGTTGAATAGGATAAATGTAACGTAAGTTCTATGTTACATTTATCCAATTCAACTCTAAATTGGTGCGACAAGGTCGTCAGTCTTGTACTGCACTTAAATTCATCTAATCTAGATACCGTAGTAAACAGCTCTCATCCAAGCAATTACCATGAAAGTATTTATAGAAAAGTTACAGTGAAGTAGCCTTATGGTGGTGGGAAAATGACTGAGGCCGAGAAGCAAGATCAGGACCAATAATATTGCTGATTCTTCTTTGGATTTTATTCGATTAAAAATCGATTCTTCGAATTTCTCAAATGCAGCATCGAACACGCTTCAAGGCGTCGAACTATTTGATTTTCTCTGAGTTCATGCGGAAACCATTTATCGATATTCTTCTCCCTAGCAAAATTCTTAAGATTTTCCGATATTCTTGAAATGCTGACACCATTATCTGAAATATTTCTCTGACATTTTGTTCGACTAGTGTTTTCAGATGTTGATTGTCAATTGCAGATGGACATCCACTTCCACCTTGATCTGCAAGTCTCGTGTCCCCACTGCGGAACTTCAGAAACCAGCGCCATACTGTCCGATTAAAAGTGGATGTTTCACACCATACTCTGTTAATGCTGTCAACAGTTTTGAGAAGCATTATAATCAAGCGTGAACTCATACAAAAAAGTAAACGTCCCTCTTCTTTTTTCATGTTTAATATGAATGGTATATAAGGCTTTAAGTTAAATTCTGAAAGAGATTGATATAAAATTGACAAAGCGAATACTTTAATAATTAAAAACAAGTAATATATTTTGGGGCAACTCTAATAATAATAGAACGAAATTAAATGGTTTATTCTAAAATCGGACATTATTTTTCGAACAACGTAATAGCTAAAATATTTATTTGATCGCCACACAAGTCTCAATAACTACAGGAAGATTGTCTTACGCCAAATCGACCAAATGGTTAGATCTTTACTGACATACATCCCTATCTTCGGTGTTTCTATCACAACATTTGAACGATAGCATCAACGGCTAGAATAAAATGAAAAGGCTGAGTGAGGTATTTTCCACATCCAAGACAATAAATGCCGTGGTATGAGGAAGAAAAAAAACTCACAAAAGGCAATCTGACAGGCTAAATCGTACCCCTTGGGGACAAAGGGCAAAGCAAAGTATATTTGTTCCAGATGTCAGTTTGGTTTCCAGCATGCACAGCTGACGATCAAAACCAAAAGAATAAAAACATTGGGACTTGATTTGGTGTTAGCGTTTGAGAGGAAATTGTTAAAGAAATTTCACTCTTTTTGAACCGACAAATGGAAGTTGAAGGGGGAGAGAAGGGGAAGCGGAGAGAGCAAGTGATGCAAAGTCAGGTGGCCCGGGCGATGTGTGACGAGGGACAAGGGACTTGGAAAAAAAAAATAATGATTTTTTTTTTAAGCAGGCAACGTGGGTTCGTTAGTAGCGCGCAATGTCCAAAAAAAACTTCTAAATATGACCATCGATGTGAGAGAGAAAAATAACGGGGAAAATAGAGGAAGAAAAGAAGGCATGAAGGATTGTGTGCTTGAGAAAGAAAGAAAGAAAGAAAGAAAGAAAGAAAGAAAGAAAGAAAGAAAGAAAGAAAGAAGAGACAGCGGGTGAAAGAAAGAAAGAAGTAAAGAAAAGAAGAAAAATTAAACAAGGTGTAAAGAAAGAAAGAAAGATAGGAAGAAAAATTAAACAGAGTGTAAAAGAAAGAAAGAAAGAAAGAAAAAGAAAGAAAGAAGCAAAGAGCGTGTGAAAAAAGAAAGAAAAATTAAACAGCGTATGAAAGAAAGAAAGAACAAAAGAAAGAAAGAAAGAAACAAACAAACTACTGAGAAAAGAAAGAAAGAAAGAAAGAAAGAAAGAAAGAAAAAAGAAAGAAAGAAAGAAAGAAAGAAAAAAGAAAGAAAGTAAGGCTATAAAATGCAAAGAGAAAAAAATAATGTAGAATATGAAAGAAATAAAGAAACATAGAAACAAACAAAAAGACAAAAAACAAAGAAAACGAGAAAGAAAGAAAGAAAGAAAGAAAGAAAGAAAGAAAGAAAGAAAGAAAGAAAGACAAGAAAAATGCAGAGAAGAAAAATAAAGTAGAATGTGAAAGGGAGAAAGAAACAAACAAACAAACAAACAAAAAAATAAAACGAGGGAGAAAAGAAAAAAGAAAAAAAAGAAAAGCAAGGAAAATTCAAAGAGATGAAATAAAGTCGAATGTAAAAGAAAGAAACAAACAAGCAAAACGAGGTCCAATAATAAACGTAATGAAGAGAGATCTGGGTTTCACAGCCGTTTAAAAACTTTTAGAAACTTCATTTGTATTCTTCTTCTTCTTTTTCTTCTTCTTCTTCTTCTTCTTCTTCTTCTTCTTCTTCTTCTTCTTCTTCTATGTGCCGTATCCATTCAGGGCAATAGCGATCATGGCTCTCCACAATTTCTTGTCCTCTGTATCGATTAATACATTTTCTCTTTTTGTTTTCTCTTCTAAACCGAGTCCTGCCATCCATTTACACAAGCTCTTGACGAAAGTGAGGTTAGCTTTTTCTCTGTCATTATTTACTTCAACATATTATGTAAGTGTCAGACTTTAAAACACTGTTCGACATTATCTGCCCTAGAAATTTCAACAGACTCTATCTGATGTTAAGTAACTATCTTTTTTGTTTCCATTTTCTCTAAAATGCCGTTGTTGCACTCATGTACGTACATGGCATTCTCAGCATCCTTCTGTAGAACCACATTTTTTTTGTTTGTTTTGTGTCTGTCTTTCATCTGTGAGTGATTGTTCAGAATCCAGTACCATAAAGAAGGCGTGACAGTTCACTACTGGTTTCTTTTGTTCTAGCGAAATTTTTCCGTTTCTTAATGCTCTGCTTAGGTTTGGGAAGGCATCTTTCACTATCGCAATGCACCTTCGGATTTCGGTGTCACACTTTCCGCCCATCTGTTAAAACATTTGCCAGATATTTTACTGTTTCTTAATAATTTAATGAGATTTTGGAAAACATATTTGGTTATCCCAATGCTCCTTCGGATTTCGCTGTCACACTTTTCGCCCATCTGTTAAAATAAAACTCCTCAGATATTTTATTGTTTCTTATTACTTTGCTTAGCTTTCGGAAGACATCTTTTGTTATCCCCAATGCGCCTTCGGATTTCGGTGTCCCACTTTCAGCCCATCTGCTAAAACACTTCCCAGATATTTTATTGTTTCTTAATACTTTGCTTAGCTTTCGGAAGACACCTTTGCTTATCTCAATGCGTAGATTTGGAAGACATCTTCGGCTATCCCTATGCGCGTCCGGATTTCGGTGTCACATTTTACGCCGGACTGTGAAAACATTTCCCAGATATTTTATTGTTTCTAAATACTTTGCTTAGCTTTTGTAAGACATCTTTGGTTTTCCCAATGCACCTTCGGATTTCGGTGTTACACTTTCCCCACATCAATTTAACCAATTCCCAGATATTTAAGTTGTTGGACTTGTTTGATTTCCGTATCTCCATATTATAATTTGCATGTTGGCCTGATCCTTTTCTCACAGCCATATATTCTTTTGCAATTGAAATTTAGTAGTCGTTTTCATTCACTGCCGTCAGTAGTTATTCTTGTAGTCACATGACACAGTCAATAACTTGGAACACTATTCACCTAAACGCTATTACTTACTTTGGAAAGAAGTCAAGCTAAAAATAAGCAGACACGAAATAATTACTCTGTGAAATAATCAAGTAATGTTAATATTCGCCATTTCCCAAAATGAAATCTTCGGCATCTGTTTATATTTCTGAGATGAAGTATTATGTACACTATTTACATTATTCGGACTATTGTCCTCATCTTTGTAGCCATATTTATTACAACGTGTTGGTCTTTCAGTATCTGTCTATATTTCTGAGATGAGGTATTATGTACACTATTTACATTATTCAGACTATCGTCCTCATCTTTGTCACAATATTTATTACAACGTTTCGGCCTTTCAGTATCTGTCTATATTTCTGAGATGAAGTATTATGTACACTATTTAGATTATTCGGACTATTGTCCTCATCTTTGTAGCCATATTTATTACAACGTTTTGGTCTTTCAGTATCTGTCTATATTTCTGAGATGAGGTATTATGTACGTCCTACAACCCCCGTAGTATTAATCTGACGTAGCACCTTATTGGAACATACTTCAATTCTATGGAAGCTAGTAAATATCACTTAGACGAGTTCATTACCTCTAAAGATGACAATTTTCAGGTGGATGGAATCATGAAAATCATTCAAATATGCTGAATGTCGGTGTTACAAAAATGGAGTATACCTATTAGAATAAATCTGTGTACAAATATCTAAATATTGTCTTTGAAATCCACTTAAAAAATGCTACGAACCTTTATTCTTATCATTTCACCACCAAGAATGTTGGCCAAGTTCTGAATGGATGGATGGAATAATGAAGCTGCCTCAAATATGGCGAAAGGAAGAGGAAGAAAATGGCATATATGTGGTTGCATAAATCTATAGACATATACCTAAATATTGTCTTTGATATTCACACAACAAAACACTCTGATCTGTTGTGCCGATAAGTTCATCAACCAGAACGATAGGCAAGATGTTGAAATATAGTGGAACAAAATGGTACGTTTGCGGTTGAATAAACCTACAGACAAATATCTAAATATTTTCTTTGAATTTCACATAAAAACCGCCACCAGTTTTTGTTCCGATCCAAAATATTGTACTACTTGAAAATAACTCTCAAAGGAAAAGTCTGCCAAAATCAAGATATTTTTTGAACTAGCTGAGTGACGATTGGGGTATGCACTTAATTGCGTTGTACCATATTCAGTTTCATATCTTGTCAGAAGAATTTGCCTTGGCCACTTAAAAAAGCAGTTCAATTGCACGTCTACTTAATTATAACTAGTTTCCATATGTTATTAATTGCTACGCTTGGCTGACTAACAAGATTTTCTTATCATACCACATGTGCTGATTCTTTTATTTTCCATATTTTCCTGTGGAGCACTTTGTCAAATGCAAATGCTTCCCTTACATTATTTTTCCTATGTAAACTGCAGAGTGTGAGTTTTTATCTTGGGCCACAGAGTTTTTCAATACGCTACATCATGTCTTGAGAGGGCCGGTCATTTTTACCTGTGTATTCTAAGCTGCAACTGCATTGCGTTATGTAGAGATTTCTTTTTGTTTTGTTTTATTTCTGTTTTTTTCTTCTTCTTTTTTCTTTTTTGGTGAGTGGGATCGGGTAGGACTTTTAGCGAGTCTGCTGAAATAATATTGTATTCCTTCTGAAGTCTGATCTTATATAAACGGTGAATATATAACAGGGTAATCGGACCTACTTAAAACATTTTCAAGAAAAAACAGATTTGTATATTAAAAAAATAAACTTAATATATAAAATAGTTCGTTTTCAAAACTCAAATCAACGTAACGAAGACATCAGAGTGGAAAGAAAGAAAGAAAGAAAGAAAGAAAGAAAGAAGCGGGCTGGAACGATCGACGAACGAGGGCGCGAACGAAAGAAACAAACAAAATGGAACATATAAGAAAGAAAGAAAGAAAGAAAGAAAGAAAGAAAGAAAGAAAGAGACAAACAAAAAGAAAGAAAGAAAGAAAGAAAGAAAGAAAGAAAGAAAGAAAGAAAGAAAGAAAGAAAGAAAGAAAAAAAGAAAGAAAGAAAGAAGCGGGCTGGAACGATCGACGAACGAGGGCGCGAACGAAAGAAAAAAAAACAAAATGGAACATATAAGAAAGAAAGAAAGAAAGAAAGAAAGAAAGAAAGAAAAGAGACAAACAAAAAAAAGAAAGAAAGAAAGAAAGAAAGAAAGAAAGAAAGAAAGAAGCGGGCTGGAACGATCGACGAACGAGGGCGCGAACTAAAGAAACAAACAAAATGGAACATATAAGAAAGAAAGAAAGAAAGAAAGAAAGAAAGAAAGAAAGAGACAAACAAAACGAAAGAAAGAAAGAAAGAAGCG